ACACAGTCCTAATGCCAGCTCCAGAGCCTGCCGCTCCAACTGGCAGCCCGGGCCCCAATGACCTTGTCGGCTGTGTCAATGTCCCTGAGACGGTGCTGGTTTGGAAGCTGCGACTAGGGATGAGTGAGGTCAGGGAACGTGGGGCTGTCCAGCTGCTGAAGCGCGCCTCTGTCAGTGTCTCGGGCCCTTTCTGCACCAACACAGACAGTGGTCGGCTCAGCAGCTGGGAGGTGCTCCTGACCAGGGAAGGGGTGGAGAGGAATTTGGCGCAGGCGTACATTTTTAGGGGATGCGGGGCAGTAGCCAGCGAGCTGCTCCTAGTGCAGAGAAGACCGAGAGGACGGCTCTGCGTCTTTATAGAAACAGTCTGCCACACCTTTCTCTCCTAGAGCAGCCAGTGGGTTTGAACACTGGCTTTCAACGAGCTGTGCCGAGTAAACGTTTGTTCCTTTCCCTGTCCTTGAAGTCATTCCCCAGCAGGGCATATGGTTGTGAGTGCTGTAACTAACGGGGCAAGGATGCTAGCATAGGAGAACAAACATGGGAACTGCTAGCGAGGGGAGCCAAGTGTCAGCTCGGGTAACAACCCTGCCTTCTAGCCATGAGAACAGAATTGCACTTTTCCTGGAATAATTCTTTTCCTTCTTGGCAGTCACACTGCAAGGTAATTATCAACTATATCCCACCCTCCACACCCTGTGAAATACAACAGCAGAGCTGGCTTCATGGGTGAGAACTCAGGCCTACAAAGGATATGAGCCAAATCATGGGTGGAGAAGCCAGGCCATCAATCAGCTCATATTGACTGGGTGTCCGCCTCATGTAAGGCACATTGTTCAGCGCTCCAAGTCTGGGCACAGAAGAGAGCTCGGCTCTGTCAGGCAGTTCCTGTGGGACCTTGAGCTGGTTTCTTCCTAAACTGTGGTTTCATCTCATTAAATGAGCGGGTAGGGATACATCTCAAAAGTCCCATATGGCTTGAATAATTGTTATCAATCATTTTCGGAGTAAAAAATCAGACCTCATATGTGGCTTCCCAGAAGCCAGTGAGATTATAGAACCCTGGAAGTTCAAAGACTTCCAATTTGATCTTCTCTAAGGCTGCTCTACACATGATGGCAACTATTAACGATGTGGGGCTACTGAGCTCTGGAAATGTGACTGATGCACCATGAAGTGTGCTGTGAGCATAAAATACACAAGGAGTTTCAAAGACTGAGTATGTGGTTCACCTTCTCCTTTGTGTAGCCGAGTTAGATGTGGCCCCCGTGCCATTTCCTCATCCACACTGAAAATATTTTGGATATACTGAAGGAATTAAAATATATTATTAAAACAGATATCACTTATTTTTTAATAGGTTGAGCATCATTTCATGTATTATTGGCTCTTCGTGTATCTTCTTTTTTATTATAGTTTT